ATTTGTGAGAGGAAGATTTTTTAAGCTGTCAACAATGTAATATTCTCATATAAAGAAATGCTTACTTAGGGGTATTTTAAAAACAAAATTAGACCTAATTAATATTTTTACCAAATTTCATTTGTTACCATGTGTGATAACATGCCTTCTCTGTGGGCTAAACTGTGTGAGTAAAGGAAGTTCCAAGGATGGATTTCTCAAATTTGATCACATATATGTGTATATTTTTTTTTGGTCAAAGTGCCTAAAAATGAGAAATCTTAGCAGTCAGGGTGAAAAGGTGGCTAAAAAGTCAAATTTGGTGTACCAGCCATCTCTTCTGAGAGTGAGACTGTGGAATTATTCACTGAGTTCTTAGTCAAGGCCATTATTTTTTTTTCTTTTTAAGCTTAACTTGTTTTCCACTCAATGTAATAGTCTCCTAAATGAACAGGTTACACTTTTCACAGAGACACAGACCAGTAAGGTCATCATCGCACTATCGAAATGCTCAGAAGTTCCCTTCACGAAGTTTTAGTCTCCTTGCTATATAGGGCATAATACTTATTTATTTTTTATTTCTTAGCCAATTTTTAGTTATTTGTAGTTTATTCTTCTTCCATCTGCTGCTTAAATGTATGCCTTTCTTGGCTTAGTTCAGTTTTCCTCTCACTCTATATACTTTATTCATGTTACGGGGTCATAAAATTCTCTCATGCTATCCCTTAGATGTGCAGAGAAATTGTAGTTCCCAAGACTCCCATCTGCTCTTTAGAAGCAAATTATATTTTAGTTATATTTGCTTAAAAATTTAGTGTGACTGAAAAGTCTCTAAGGTACCGCCTATTCTGAGTGTAAAGAAAACTACCCAGTCTTCTGAAATTCTGTGCCCTTTACAGCGTATTTCATGAGATAATGAGAGGGATGTACTTCATGAGACCTCCTATAGAGAGATGGTCATGGTCATGAGGCAGCCTGTGCCTTGGCCCTCCCTGTGTCTGGCTAATTCTGTTATCATGACACAGCAATGCTCACTTGGTTCCACATGTGGACTCACTCGCACACAGACTCCCGTAAGGGCTGCTTGTCTTGTGACCTCCTTAGGCTCCATTTAGGTGAGCTATTCTTTTTGCCAAACTTTTTTTTTTCTCCCAGAACATTTGGGAATGTCCCTGGATTCTTTATTTGAGCTACACAAAAAGTGTTTCTGTGAGACATCCCTTTTCTAGGTCCACATGGTAGCCTGAGGTCCAGACCCTCCGTTGCTTTCATTTTGCTTAAGGACATGGAAATATTTTTTAAGACTGAAAACACTCAAAACTAGGGTCCAGCCTTTCTAGACAATAAGTGTCCATTATTCTATGCTCTAAACACCTCGCCAGTGTGCTGCAAAGGAGTGGGTTTGGGTCTCAGGTTCTCACTAATTTCAGGTCTTGGAGAGTTATGTTCCCTCATTAGGTTGGGGGTGATCTCTTCTTCTAAAAAATCTACCCTCTCTTTCCTCAAATACACTTCTCTCTGCCACCATCATCCATGGCGTCCAGCAAAATCTTCTTAATGACTCCTATATATAAACTGCTTCTTTGACATTTCTATGTCTATTAGGTCTCAAATATAATTTGGACAAAATAAAACTTTTCACTATTTCTCCTTCATTTCAAACTTTTTGCCAGATGTCATGGACATCTCCACCCCCCTCCCAACCCTGAGTCCTGAATTGTTCATGCTAAACACCAGGATATTTTCTGTTTCTATTGCCCTCATTCTTCAACTCTGGACCATATCCTATATAATAAAAGGCTAATATGCAAATTGTCCCCTCAACCTGGAGTTCTACCTGGAGTTGGACCAGGGGCTGGAGCCAGCTGGCCAACTGCCTGTGGCTCCTCCCCCACCTGGCCCTGCTCCAGATCGGCCCCCTCACCCCTATCAGGGTGGGCTGGCCTGACCCCACCTATGCATGAATTTATGCACTGGGCCTCTAGTCCAGTATATCAGCAAGTATTAGTTTTTCCTCTGAAACTTAAAACTAATGTATGCATTTCTCTTATTTTTTGTCTCAACTGTTCTAATCACCTCCTTTTACATAAATGGCCTTCCCACAGTGTACAGAGTGGCATAAATCAGACCATATCTCTCCCTTGCATGAAATCCTTCAGGCTTATCACACCTAGGAGAAAACCCTAAATTTATTACTCTGGCCTGTTTGCTATTCCATGATCTTGTCCTTGCCTCCTTCTGTGTCTTTCATCTTAGGTCCCTCTATCTCTTGTCCATTATGCTTCAAGTACTGAACTTCTTTTCTGTTCCTCAAACACAGTAGTAGTTCCTTCCTGACCAAGGAACTTCACACTAGGGATTCCCGCCTCCCCGGAGACTATTCCCCCAGGATGGAAGAGTTGCCTCCATCTTGTTATTTAAATATCAGTTTGAATGTCATCATCTCCTAAAGGCTTTCTTTAATCACCTAAACCAGCGATTTTTAACCCTTTTTACCTCATGGCACACATAAGCTAATTACTAAAATTCTATGGTACACCGAAAAATATATTACATTTTTTGTTGATCTGGAAACAATTAGGTATACTTTTGATTAATCAAAACAGAAGGCTATTGTTGTGTTCGTTGTTCTCAATTTTTTAATTTGACAATCTAAGGGAAAATAAGTCAGTGCCTCTGACTGAATAGTCAGGTATTGCATATTTGAGAAATTCTTGTGGCACACTGGTTGAAAATCACTGCCCTAAGTCAATATAGCCTCATGGTCCTTAGCTATGACTTTTCCCTATTTTTATTCTCTGCATAATTTTCAACATTATCTGATATTCTTCTCAGTACTGGTTTGCTTGGCTTTTTTCCCTGTCTTCCTCCATTTTATTCCAGAGCAGACCTTGGCTCGTATCAAGTACTAAAAAATTGTGGAAAAAATAAATCAATAAATAGATGAATGTGGGTAGTCACAAAGAGTGTTGTGTTCAAACGGCTTCTGCTTTGGCACTTATAACGCCGTTGAGGGTAAGGCCTGACTACCTCTTTGGAAGGAAGAAAAAGAAAAAAGGACACAAATTAATACCTGGCTATATTTTCTGCCTACTGTATCATGTGTATTTAAATAGATGAAGGAAGATGAAACTATATGGCTTTCACATTCTTAAAGCCAAGTAGACATAAGCAAATCCCTGAACATCTCTAGTCTCATTTTTCTCATCTTTAAAACTTGAGTAATAAATCTTGCCTCACAAAGGAATTTTGAGAAACAAATGAAATTGTACATGTGAATGTGCTTTATAAACTGTTTAAATAAAAGTTAACCTTTGCAGCACATTACATTTATGTCTCTGCAGGAGGGGAATCTTAATAAGGAAAGAATGTAGATACAGATGACTTATTTTTAAAGCACAGCTTCACATTTAGTTTGCCTGGAGTTTCCGGGGATGTGGGCCTTTCTATGTGGACAAGTGGGCTGATGTGGTCACATTAGTCACTGGGCTCTGCACCAGTCAAACCATTGTAAGGATCCATTGTCAATTTCAAGGTCCATAAATACAAGACATTAAGGTAAAGTAATATGAACCAGAGAGCGGCTGAAATATGTGTGGAAACCTGAGTCCAGAAACTTTGACAAGTAAAGGAGGCCAGAGAACAGTCACCTATTAGAGTTTGTGGAGAAGATTCAGGAAATATGGCGTCATAACTAGTTTTTTTTTTTTAAATGTATTTTTAAAAATTTTAATACCATCATAAGTAGGTTTAAAAATATTTATTATACAAGATAAACTAGTTCTAGAGGTGTCCTGTGCAATATAGTGCCTATAGTTAACAGTTCAGTATTGTACATAAACATTTCTTGAGGGTAGATCTCGTTAATTATTCTTACAATCTAAAAACAAGAACAGAGAAAGTCCAGCAAACAAACAAACAAACAAACGAGAACGCTAGCGATGACTTTGTATGTGCCAGGCCCTCTAGTCATGAAAATACAAAAATGAGGAGAATGCAGTCCCTGGCTAATTGCATCTCTGAGTCCATCCAATATCCTCAATCCTATTTCATCTCAGCATATGGTACAATTCTTTCCAATTTCCCCCTGACTTCTTCCTAATCACCAAATATTCTGGCACTCAAAAAAATGATTCCTACAACAACTAGAGTGGTGTACTTAAAATGCTGATCTAATTCTTTCACTCCTCTGTTTGATCCTTTTAATTGCTATTAATCACAAATAAAATAAGGAGCCTAAACATGACCCAAATATCGCTAGCCCTTTGGTGCCTCATCTTCATTGCTGCCACACCAACTGCTCACTGCAGTTTTTAATCACTCAGACCCTGATCCAGTTCCTCATATGCCATTAACAGCGTTCCTTCCTCTGGACCTTTGCACAGGCTGCTGCCTCTGCCAGGAGTGTTCTCATCACTGCTTTACCCCTTTGTCTGGCCGACTGATAATTCAACTTAGTGTCAACTTAAATGTCACTGCCCATAGGTAATAGGGAGATGCTGGGAGAGCCTTCTCCATATACATCCTCATATTGGCTTGAGTTACTCCTATATAGAGTACTTATTTTGACTGCAATTTAATAATTATTTGTATAACTACTCCATTAAAACCCATAACATGATTCTAAGCATCATAGAGCATCAACCATATCTGTCTTTTTTATTTATTGCTGTGTGTTCCCACATCCCTGTCTCCTAGTATAATTCATAGAATATATTAGGCACTCAGTAAATATTTGTTAAATGAAAAAAAATAAGCAAATGAATAAATGAATGAAAGTCACAGACTAACTTCTAGAAGGTCACACTACATTAGAGAAATCTCATAAGATATTTATATGCAGAAATGCTAATATATGTATTATTTCCGTTATTTCCTACAAAGCCCCAGTGAGGCAGATACAGCAGGGATTATTATCTGCATTTCACAGAGAAGGAGCCTGGCCACTGGAGCTCGGTGGTTGCACATCAACCTCTGAACCAGGAGGTGACAGTTCGATTTCCGGTCAGGGCAGATGCCTAGGTTGTGGTCTTGACCCCTGGTGTGGGTCATGCAGGAGGCAGCCAATCAATGATTCTCTCTCATCATTGAGGTTTCTCTCCCTCTACTTTGCTCTCTGAAATTAATAAAAAATATATTTAAAACAAAACAAAACAGAGAAGGAGACCCCTATAAGTCAGAGTAGCGAAGCCAGTGCCAAGTGAAAACAAGAGCCTGCTAGAACCTAGATCTGATTTCAAAACCTGTGCATTTTCCTTTGCTCATGTCTCTTTTTAGGTAAAAAGGAAAAGACAAACACACTAACAAGTGAGCTAAGACCCTGGGCAACTCTTTAGTCTAGATACACTCAGGCAGCAAGTATGCTATAAATTTCCCATCTCCTACCCCAAATCATCCGGGAGCTGCTCTTCCAGAAATAGCACCTGCTGAGATGCGAGTGATCTGTGTTACTGGGGAGCCGTCTGAGAGGTTGTGTGCATGGCTGTGAATGAAATCTCAGTGTCCCTGATGCTGACAGCAGGCCTCACTCTTCATGGTGTGTGTTAACTCGGCACAACTGGCCAATTATCAAACTCACTTGCAGAGTTTTTAAAAGAGAATTGATCATGTCCAACCCACACTTCAGATAGAGAGGAGAAAATCTCCTGGACAGGACCAATAAACCTACATAATTTTTTCCTCATATTCTCCAGAAGATTTTGATTATCAGGCTTGCGAATTATTTTATTCACTCCTTTGATCATTACAATTCTGTGACTTAAGTTTAGATACTAACTGAGAAAGGGGAAGTGATTGTCTAGTTAAACAGTGCAACCCTAGCCAATTTGGCTCAGTGGAGAGAGCATAGCCTGCGGACTAAAGGGTTTCGGGTTTAATTCCATCAAGGGCATGTAACTCAGTTGCAAGCTTGATCCCTGTCCCTGGTCAGGGCTCATGTGGGAGGCAACTAATCAGTGTGTCTCTTTCACAGTGATGTTTCTCTCTGTCTCTCGCCTTAAGGAAAAATATCCTCAGGTGAGGATTAACCAAAAATATATAAACAGTGCATCAAGGACCCCCAAACTCAGGTGTTCTGACTCCCAATAGCTGACACATTTATTTCATTATGACATACTCTTGTTTTTTTGTTGTTGTTGTTCATATATATATACATATGTACTAGAGGCCCGGTGCACGGATTCATGCATGGGTGGAGTCCCTCAGCCTGGCTGGCGATTGGGACTGATCAGGGCTGTCTCGTCCAGTCCCAATCAGGGTCAGTCTCCTGGCTGGCTGGAAGGAGGGACCTCAGGAGGTTGGCCAGCCATGGGAGGTTGGCTGTGGGAGTGCACTGACCACCAGGGGCAGCTTCTGCATTGAGCATCTGCCCCATGGAGGTCAGTGCACATCATAGTGACTGGTTGTTCTGCCATTGGGCCAAAACTGGCTCTCCGACATCCCCCAAGGGGTCCCGGATTGTGAGAGGGTGCAGGCCAGGCCGAGGGACCTCAACGGTGCATGATTGGAATCAGAGAGGGATGCAGGAGGTTGGCCAGCCGGGGAGGAACAGCGGGAGGGCACCAGGGCATGTCAGGCCAGTCTTGCTCAGTCCTGATCGGCTGGACCCTAGCAGCAAGCTAACCTACCAGTCAGAGCACCTGCCCTCTGGTGGCCAGTGCATGTCATAGCAACTGGTCTACCAGTTGACTGTCTTTTCCCTGGAAGCCAGTGCACATCATAGCAACTAATCGACCAGTCGACTGTCTGTCCCCTGGTGGTCAGTGCACGTCATAGTGAGCAGTTGAGTGACCTTAGCATATAATTAGCATATTACGCTTTGATTAGTTGAATGACTGACCGGACAACCGGACACTTAGCATATTAGGCTTTTATTATATAGGACTAGAGGACTGGTGCACAAAAATTTGTACACTTGGGGGAGGGGGTGTCCCTCAGCCCGGCCTGTGCCCTCTCGCACTGCTCGGGAGATAACGACCTGCTGGCTTAGGCCTGCCCTCAGGTGGCAGAGGGCAGGCCCAATCACCAGGTTCAGCCCCTGGTCGGGCTCAGAGCAGGGCCGCTCAGGGGGGTGGGGCACCACCACTCTCACACTCAGGGTAGGGCCAATGGGGAGGTTATGGCTCTACCTCGTCACACACAGCGCAGGGCCCGTGGGGGGGGGGGGTTCCGTACCCTGTCACACACAGAGCCACAGGGCGATCAGGGGGGTGGGAAGCTCCACCCTATCGGGCACAGCGCCGGGCTGATCAGGGGTTGGGGCGCCTTCCCCTGTCATGAACAGAGCAGGGCAGCTAGGGAGGTTGTGGCCACGCCCCCGTAACACGCAGAGCCGCAGGGCAATCAGGGGGCTGGGGAGCTCCCCCCTATCAGGCACAGAGCAGGGCTGATCAGGGGGGTGGGGCACCACCACTCTCACACTCAGGGTAGGGCCAATGGGGAGGTTATGGCTCTACCTCGTCACACACAGAGCAGGGCCCGTGGGGGGGGGGGGTTCCGTACCCTGTCACACACAGAGCAGGGCGATCAGGGGGTTGGGGCACCTTCCCCTGTCATGAACAGAGCAGGGCAGATAGGGAGGTTGTGGCCACGCCCCCGTAACACGCAGAGCCGCAGGGCAATCAGGGGGCTGGGGAGCTCCCCCCTATCAGGCACAGAGCAGGGCTGCTCAGGGTGCTGGGGCGCCGCACACTGTCACACAAAGAGCAGGGCTGATCAGGGGGTTGGGGCGCCGCACCCTGTCACATACAGAGCCGCAGGGCGATCAGGGGGTTTGGGCGCTGCCCCCTGTCATGCTGATCCCGGTGCCAGAAGGCCTCGCGGCTCCGCTGATCCCGGTGCTGGGAGGCATATTACCCTTTTACTATATAGGATAGAGGCCTGGTGCATGGGTGGGGGGCAGCTGGTTTGCCCTGAAGGGTGTCCTGTATCAGGGTGGGGGTCCCCACTGGGGTGCCTGGCCAGCCTGGGTGAGGGGATGATGGCTGTTTGCAGCTGGTCACACACCCTTTCAGGGTGGGTGTCCCCACTGGTGTGCCTGGCCAGCCTGGGTGAGGGGATGATGGCTCTTCTCAGCTGGTAACACACCCTTTGGGGTAGGGGTCCCCACTGGGGTGACTGGCCAATCTGGGTGAGGGGCTTAGGGCTGTTTTCAGGCTGGCGGGTGACTGAAGTTCCCATCCTTTTTTTCTTTTTTTTATTCTGGGCCAGCTTTAGCTCTGACTCCAGCTCTGAGGCCTCTGCTGCTGAAAGCAGATATCTGGTTTGTTTGTGTTCTATAATCGAAATACTGTATCAACTCCAGCTCTGAGATCCCAGAGGGCTGAAAGCAGGTTTCTGGGGTTTTGTTTAGCTTCTATATTTGTAACATAGTTGATTAGAGTTGCAGCTCAGAGGCCTGCAGCGGCAGGTGGGGAACGTTGGAGTCCTCCGTCACTGAAGCAAGCAAGCCTCATGTTAGTTTCAAGCTGCCTGGCTGCCGGCTGCCATCTTGGCTGGCAGTTAATTTGCATATTGCCCTGATTAGCCAATGGGAAGGGTAGCGGACATATGCTAATTACCATGTTTCTCTTTTATTAGATAGGATATATATATTTAATTTATCTTTAGTGTTGAAGGTATTACAGATGTCCCCTCTTTTTCCCCCATTGACCCCCTCTACCTCGCACCTGTCCCTCTTCCCAGGCCTTAACCACATTATTGTCTGAGTCCATAGGATATGCATATATTCATATAATTTCTTTTTTTAAATATATTTTTATTGAATTTAGAGAGGAAGGGAGAGGAAGAGAGAGATAGAAACATCAATGATGAGAGGCAATCATTGATTGGCTGCCTCCTGCATACCCACCCCTTACTGGGGACCAAGCCCACAACCCAGGCATGTACCCTTGACCATAATCGAACCCATGACCCTTGAGTCCACTGGCCGAAGCTCTATACACTGAGCCAAACTAGCTAGGGCTGCATCTAATTTCTTTGGTTAATTTCTTCCCACTGAGATTCATCAGTCTGTTCCATGCTTTGTCTCTAAACAAAGCATGGAACAGACTGATTCTTATTTTTAAAAGAAACACCATATCCTATAGAAAAGGGACATGAAGAAATTTTAATGTGGGTAGCTGAAAAGGGGTGTTTCTTGGGTGAAAATGCTGTCTGGGCTTCTGATGTGTTAGGCGGTTAGTTTAGGAACCCTCCAAAGCAGTGGTCTTCAAACGCCAACATGGGAGGAGTCCATTGGTGCCCCACAGTTGGAAATTCCGATTCAGTGGGGCCTTAGAAATCTGTAGCGCGGCCGTAGAAATTTTAGGAGCAAAGTTGCATCTGTAAAGAGCCCCAGGGGCTATTCCCGTGTGCATCGTCAGGCTTTGGTGAACATCGCTTAAAATTGCCTTCCAGTCTCAGTTGCCTCTAGAGTTCTCAGCCTTCATTGCTCATTATAGCCATATGAGGAATAAAAAAAAAATACTGATGTTGAGGCTACTTGCTAAGAGATTCTGATTTAATTTGCCTGGAATGAGACCTACTTAACAGTGTTTTTGTAAAGCTTTTTAGGTGATTCCAAGATGAAACAAGGGCTTTAGAAGATGAATTAATTGTTGGAACCACAGGTATTAGCTTTGCTTCCAGATTAAGACAGCAGGTAAATTGTGAAAGAACTCTGATTGCCTTTCTCCTTCCGAGGCAGCAATGAAATTATAAGGTATTTTACAGAGGTATAATAGCGCTCTGTGGTGACAATATGCTAACAGTTGTGTGCTTGAAGATTAACATAGAATCCACTACTTGACGTACTTTTTCTTTAATGAGCATAATTATGGAGCCACTTTCAAGCCAGCACATGGGATTAAGTAACTAAGTCTCAAGAAAAAGAAACAGTTTTCAAATCAGCAAGTTATATTCATGTGATTCCTTTCATAAGAGCTATTAATTAGGCTGTTTATATTTTACTTGAAAAAAAAAAAAAAACCAGACAGAAGTGTAGCTGTGGAACTCTTGGGAGGCAAGATATTTTCCCAACAATAGCAACAGCAATAAAAACCACAAAAGAACTTTAATTTCAAATTACAAGCCATTCTATCAGTTCAATTCTGAATATTAATACAGAAAACAGACTCCGTTCTTATTGTTTATTTAGCTTTAGTTAGAAAGAAATACATCTACCCCAGAGTCACAAAGTAATTTCTTCAGAGATGTAATTCCTCCTAGAATTGGTGCCTTGCACAAATGACTACAATGATGAGCATTTTTGAGTCCCAGCTATGAAAAAGAAGCTATGCAAAATGCAAAGCAGAGGAAGACACGGCTGTGATTTTCAAGGATTGTAGGAGCCCTCGGGCAAACACACTGCACACATGGAGAAATTAGCAAGAGCACCACATCCTAGCAGTCAAGAACCCTGAAGGTTTTAATCTTTGAATCATTATTTATTAGCCTCATGAACTTTGCCAAAATTTCTTATCAAAATACAGGGAATACCATAATACTTCTCCCTGATATAGATAAATATTTTGAATGAAGGGAGATGTGTATGTGTGGATATCTTATAAGCTGTAATATATTTAATCTAAATGGGCCCCTAAAATGCTAGTTGAAGGTCAAACAGGTAGGGTAAACAATATATCCTTTATTACCATCTTAGAGATTTACATTGTATGTTCAAATACTTGAGAAGTGCAGCGGTTGAAAAACTTGTTCAACTTTGTTTAACCCATTTCTAAAATCAATTCATGCTTACTTTCCTTGTCTGTCAATACAGGGAGGTAGGTTTCTGCAGAACAAACTGGATCAGTTTACACTTAGAAATTTATAGGACCATGGTGATCATATGAGAGAATATTTAAAAGTCTACAGAAAATAATGGAAGGAAAGTCTACAGAAAATAATGGAAGGAGAGTAGATTGGCTAGAGAAAGCTTACAGAGGATGTAGGCCTTGAAATATATTACCTAATTATTAAATAGTGAAATTATTTATTGAGTAGCTACACATATTTATGGAGTATATACAAATGGAGGAAGGTATTGGACATGAGGGGGCTACAGTACTAATCGATTTAGGATCTAAAAGGTGAATTAAGGCCTTACCATAATACAAACTGACACTTAAAAAAATTAAAATACAATGGGAAATAATTTGATAGAATTTTAGGAACAAAGTTGCATATGTAAATAGGAAATATCTATTTAGCCATTAAATTATTCTGATAATATTCACTTTACACAAAGCTTACTACTTATTTCATTAAACTAAATTTATTAGTTTAATCAACTACCTTTCAGGAACTTTATACCTAACTCCAATGTGCCATTACCAGCTAGGCTACTGAAGCAAGAAAGGTTATTATTGGCAATACAGCTACAACACAATTACTGGATCAATACATGAGAGTATTTTTTATGTATTAACCCTGTAAACCAAAAGTAGAAATAAATGTTAAGGGCTCTTTGACCCCAGGGATGTGTTCTAAGCATGGACGTTGTTGACAGAACCAAATATCCAGGATCATTTGGTGTGACCATATATGCTCATGGACATATTGGACAGGACCAAATTTCAAGGAACTTTTGGCATGAACTAAATGTCTCCATGGATAGTTTGGACAAGAACAAATATCCTCTAATAAACTATGTCAGAGATAGTACATTCTGGTGATTGGCTATGCTGCAGATGCATGTCCTATATTTGAAGCACATCCTTTTCCTCAGTCAGTATCAGGTATCATAAATGCCATAGGAAATATCCGTAGGGGCTCTAGTTCACACATTTTCTGTTAGTTATTTACTAGATGATAGAATATTAGATCATCTTTCTACATTTATTCAGAGAGCTGTACTCTTCATACATGAATATCACCTTTAATTAATTAAAGTTATATAAGATAAAAATGTCGTATAATATCTATTGTGTACCTAGAAAATTATCTTAAAAGAACTTTGGAACACCAGTTTAGAAGTTGACATAGTCATTTAGGTCTACATTTCATACTCAATTTACGCCTACAACCTCTCGTTATCTATTTTTATGCTCACTGTACCTAATGTTAGGTCTACTTCACAGTAGACAATATGGATGGAAGCACTTGCTAAAATTTTAAACGTGGCGTAAATTATCATCATTGTAACATCTTATTCTACTGGTTTACAGGAAGCTTTTAGTGGGAGATAGTAGTATTTTTCCCATTCTTATCCCAGTAAATCTTTTTTTTTTCCCTTTAAAAGTTAAGTCACTGAGGAGCACCATCTTTATATATAAAGTGTCAGCCAGGCTGGTACTTACCCTTCCGATTTTGTCCTTCTGAACTTAATGATTCCTTGCTGTGAAGGAGGCTGCTAGCACAGTAGTAAGTATTTATTCTCACTCATGTCACAGTCCAGGATAGGTATTACTAATCAGATGCTTCCCCATAAGGGACCTTGGAACCTGAACTTTTTCTTCCTTGTGACTCCACTATCCACTCTGCTTTAGACACTTAAAAGTAATTTTATGTTTTTCAATTATAGCTGACATACAATATTACATTAGTTGTGGGTGTATAACCCAGTGATTGGATATTATATAACTTACAGATAAGTCTGTAAGTTATATAAATCTAGTACCCAACTAACGCAATATGTAATTATTACAGTATTATTGACTATATTCCCAATGCTGTACTTTATATCCCCATAACTATTCTGTAAATACCAATTTGTACCTAACCCCTTTACCTTTTTCACCCATCCCCTCAGCCTTCCTCCCATCTTTCACCCAGTTCCTCCACTCCCTCCCTTCTGACAACCATTAGTTCTCTCTCTTATTAGATCCTTTCTTGATTTAACAGGCATTTGAGTAAAGAAGAAAGGTAAATAGATAAATGCCAAAAGGAAGGGAGGGAGGGGGGAAGGGAGGGAGGGGAAATAATTATGCCAAAGGTTTTTGTCTCTGGACTTGAAATAGAATACTCATATTTTCTTGTGCAGAATTCAGTCCTATGGCCAAATTGCCTGAAAAAGAAATATATTTCAACTATTTACTCAAGGAATTAAATGAAACTCAAACTAGAAAAATTAGGAAAAATTGGGGGTTCTAGTAGGGGTATTGGAGAGGTTAACAAGCCAAATTTCCTCTTTCTGCTGATTCCGTAAGTTTCTAGTGACATTAATTTATTAGCATTGAGTCGAGCCGTATTCAACAACACCTGGACTATTTGGGTTCGGGTCTTTCCCATCCCTGAGTCCAAAGACATCTTAAACAATTGCAGATCTTTTTTTGTGAAATACAGAACAAAGATTCTGCATATGTCCACATTTTGAGCATGTCATTGATATTCTGAAATTCTTCCTCAACCTACCTGTCATTTGAGGGATTCAGTTAAAAAACTTTGATGAAGGTCTATTGAAATGGCTCCTGCTATCCAGAACTGATGTATGAGAATTTAACCATCTGTTTCAGTTCTAGAGGCTCCATGGTCAATTTGCTATAGCAAAGATCCCTGAGGGTCAGATCATTTTGTTTCTCAAGCTGGCCCTGCTGTTCAGTATGGTCATCATGCCCATTTACCTCTGGCAGTTCCCAGTAAGTGCATCTTCTTGATCTCTGACATCTTTGTATCTTCTTATTCCCAATGAAGTCAAGAAGCTATTCCAAAATCAGCATTTCCCTCTAATATTCCTGGCCCCCGAAAGGGCCACCAATTAAGTGACTTAAAGGGACTGTAAGTGGTTTTCATTGACAGAGTAAGTGACTGGAAGGGTCACTGATAGGGATTTCTGAGGTGCTGGAATGTTTTGTTTCTTGTCCTGGTGATTATGTAGATGTTTCCCTTTGTGTTCACCTGGTACTTAGTTACCAGGTAAGGTTGTAGTCGGAAGGGTGAGGCTCAGGTGAGGTGGTTCTCTGTATCTGAGGCACGTCTTAAAGAAGCTGATACCTGGGATTCTCCACTGACCACAGTCCTGAAGTTGAGCACCAAAGTTTTTTGTTTTGTTTTGTTTTTTGAAGAGGAATATTGCTTGAATATGTATGATATAGACATTTCTGTGTCCATCTTGCAGTATATTTTACATTACTTTTGAAAACTTTAAATTGTGAAGTGATGTTAAACTTACAGAAGGTTGCAAAAATAATACATACAAGTTCTAGGTACCTTCACTCACCTTCCCTGATGTTAAACTTACATAACTCCAGTATAATGACCTCAGCCAGGAAGTTGACATGAAAACAATATTATTAATTAATCTATAGGCTAAAATTTTTCTGGTTACTCCACTAATTTCCTTTCAGTGGACAGAATCTAATTTAGGATCCCACATTGCATGTACTTGTCATAAGCTATACTTTATTTTCTGCATATATACCCATCTATGTGAGATCCTTAAAGAAAAATAACCCAAATGTAATATCCTAAATACATAACAAAATATTTGCTGATAGAGTTATTAGATTAATAATTGTGGAATGAATAAACCCTGCAAGATTTTCAAGGGCAGGGCTTTAATCCTAATTCCCAGTATTATACCCTCATTTGATATTCGAATTGTTTGTTTAACAGTGAGTAAAAATGAAATATATAAATTGGGTACTTCTCATGGCACAAATGATACAAACTCAGCAGAAAATAAAATCCAGTTCCTTTTTTATCACTTTATAAGAATGTTCCTTTTGAAAGGGGGAGAGAATATAGATGCGAGAGAAAGTAAAGCAATTTATCAGGAATACCTAAGGGAAATGGTTTTGAATCTCATTTTAAAATGTATGTTAGCCATGGGTTAACAGAAAAGAGAAGAAGGTGATTTTTGCAGATGTGTAAGACTGGCAAATGGGCACAAAAGATGATAGGATAAAAAGCAGGATATTTTTTTTTGAAATCAACAAGCAGAGATAATTTATTAAAGATTTTTATGCATGTTCTGAGAACTAAATAAATGGAGTTTCTGAGTGCTGAATTTCTTTTTGAACTTGATTAGATTTTTGCATGATAGAAGCTTGCTTTATTCATTCTTTGAATGAATAAAAAGTCTAAAATCATATAAACTAATTGCCTACTGGGAATTGGAAATAATAATTCAGAGGAAAATGTGGATTTTCTTCTTAATCACATCATTGCTATAAGAAAATGTACAATTGATTTTAAAATCTAGAGTCTAAAGCACAATTTGATCAACTAATTAATTTAAGAGGAATCTATTAATGGCATTCTTTATTTGTTGAATTATAGCACTTTTCAGTTTTTGATTTTTAGGATATATTCATGATGACAGTTATTTTTTTGGTGGGCACAATTATCAGTTACTCTCCTTTTACTTTACCATAGTAATATTTTTATTTTTACATTGGTATGCATGATTTCTTACCTGGTTAAGTGCATCCTTTTCTGATATCTCTCAAAATTTTGGATTTTGTTTCAAAATATCTGGAAAGCTCTGTTTTTCCTCGAGTGTGACAGCTCTAAATGGAGTGAGATTTTAACTGGAGCCTGGTGTTCTCCTGTTTAAAAGTGATTAGTATACAGTGTGGAAAGGAGCTGAATACTTAATGCAGTCACTTTCCTTCTCCTGAGACTTTAATTCTCCTCCAGTTGATCAGCTGAGAAGGCAGTGGTCAAAGACTAATTGGCATAATATTCAGTGTGTTTCCCTGCCTCTTATTTTGAAGAACAAAGGCACAGCTAATAAAAACAGCCAGATAATATATTTGAATATTTGTTGCATTTAAGATGTTAGATTAATATTTCTTCATCTTTTAAAAATGAAAATTTTGTGGTATTAGAAGACCCGAAATGCATGTCTTTTTTTGAACTGTTGATATTTATGAAAAGAATTTAGATGCATATGAGTATGTTACAGTTGTCATTGTTTGCATTAAAATATTTTCAAGCTCTGTCCGGTGTTGCTCAGTTGGTTGGAGCATCATGCCATGCACTGAAAGGTGGCAGGTTTGATTCTAGTTAGGGCATGTACCTTGGTTGCGGGTTCAATCCCTGTTGGTGGGCATGTACGGGAGGCAACTGATCGATGTTGTTTCTCTCTCTCCATCAATCAATCAATAAAATATTTTCAAATATACCTGCTTGATTTGGATAAAAATGTTTAGTCACAAGCATCAGTGGTGTGGTTTGTTAAAGTGAGCTTCCATATTTGGTCTGTTGACACCCATAAAGCATATAAAACAAACTCCTCATTCTCTCTTCCAAACTGGTTTCCCCACACTTCTGCATTCTTTGTCTCTTTTAATGGCACCATCATCTGTGCAGTTGCTCAGATTAAGCCCACAGTGATGATTACTTCCATGTTGGGTCTTGTGTCTATTACAGTCAAGCACCATACTGTGATGTTTTGGATACTTTTTATCATTGTTTTATAGGCCACTCTTTCTATTTACTAAAAAAATCTTTTTTGCTATAAAAGAATATGCTGTGTTATTGCAGCCGCCGCCTCATACATCTCATGTTTATCACATCTCTTGATGGCATCTTTTTCTCTAGTGTTTGATTTAATCTCATGTTGTTTTGTTCATCATGGCCCCTAACTTTATAACACCCACTATTGATATTGCCAGTAAGAGGGCATGTTGAGTGATTAACGTGGAAACAAAATTAAAAGTGACTGCGGACTATGAAAGTTGGAAATTGGTGATTGTTTTTACTTGCGTGTCATCCAGGCATGTCCTAGTCCACCACAGCTGTCATCTTGAAGAACAAGAACAGAGTGATGGGA